AGACATCAGAGGAGGAGCTGCTAGCTGGCAAGCCGATCTCCCTGGAGCTAGACAAGAGTGTTGGCAAGCTGCATGAAACCTTCTGCTCGCCGGGCAACGTGGAGTTCATGACGCTCGGAGCTTGGGCAGCCACGCCGACGCTGGGAACGAAGCGAAAACATGTGAAAGAAAAGCTCAGAGCGTACCTCGGCGAGCAGCGCTTGGCGGGGGGATGGCGACGGAAGGAGGAGGAGGTGGTGGAGGAGGAGGAGGAGTTAACGATGTGGAGGCAGAGGACTGCGGGTGAGAGGCATCAGAGACCCCAAGACAGGCGAGATGCAGCAAACCGTCACCATGAAGGCGGACAAGTGATGATGATGATGATGATGATGATGATGAGAACCACGACGACAACGATGATCATCATTTTGATGATCATCGTTGGGATGATGATAATGATGATGATGATGATTTGTAAGTCGTTTTGCTCGACCATTCTCATCTTTGTCTTCAGGTACATTAGCTGTGTTCCCGTTCACATCTTCAAGAAACTTGTACAAGCTTGCGATTTCGTTGCCCTCCCTCCTCTCACTGCCAGATCCGCACCAGATCCCCAAGGAGTGGAAGGATGGAACCTCAAAACCAGTCAGTCAGCAAGCAACGTTGACGACGATCATTCTCACGTGCATGCAGGAGGTGGCGAGATTCTTCAACAAGTTGGAGCCTCTAGAAGGGTGAGAAGAGAGCAGAACGAGCATGATTGCAAACGATTCCTTATAGCACCTTGTAGCACCTTCTATCCCTTCCACTCTCTTTCATTCTGATCTTTCTGTTATCCTTCTCCGCTCTGCCACTACTATCTCCTCCTTCTCCCCCTCTTCTTGCTGATCTTTCTTCTTTCTCCTCCTCCTCCTCATCCTCCTCCTCATCCTCGTCCTCCTCCTCCTCCTTCATCCTCCCTATCCAACTGTCTCTCCCCTCGATCTTTCCTTCACTCATCTCCTATCGCTCATCGTCTCTCAGAGTGCCAGTCATCAACCTTCACCTCTGGTTCGACAAGAAGATCGAGTCCCTTGCCAGGTCCGCCTCATCCCTGCCGCCGCTTGCTGACAAAACGAGCAGCGACAAGATGGATCAGCTTCTCTTCTCTCGGTCAAAGTTGCTCAGGTCCCTCTTCCTCCTCCTTCTCCTTCTCCTCCTTCTCCTCCTCCTTCTCCTCCTTCTCCTACTCCTTCTCCTCCTCCTCCTCCTCCTCCTCCACCACCACCACCACCTCCTCCTCCTCCTCCTGCTTCTCCTTCTGCTCCTCCCCCTCTCATTCATCCTGCTACCTCCTCCAACTCCAACTCTTCTCATTCGTCCTGCTCCCTTTCTCCTCCACCACCACTACCTCACCACCTCGACCTCCCCTCCTCCACCACCACCACCTCCTCCTCCTGTTTCCTACCAGCCTTCCCCCAACCTCCCCTCAACCTCCCCTGGCCCTTCCTCCCCCTGCAAGTGCTACCGCTGCTTACACCTCTTCTACCGCCAAGATCGCCTCTTCCTTTCCTTCACGCCTACTTTTCTCCTCCTCTCCCCCTGACTCTCAGGCAGTGTGTATGCCGACATGTCGAACTCCTGCAGAGAATATCACGACCCTGACAGATCCATGCTCGAGCTGGTGAGCATTCCTCCCTCCCCGCTCCCTTCCTCCTCCTCCTTCTCCTCATCCTCCTCCTCCCGTTCTCCTCCAGCTAGGAACCTCCTTTCGTATGCCCCTCCCCCTCCATCCATCGCTCCTCCTTGTTGGTTCTTCTTTCATGGACTGTTGTCACTCAGGTGTTTGCGCCAGCAGCAGCGAAGTTTGGAGGGAAAAGTGCCACAGAGTTCGGTGAGAAGATGAGAACCTGGGAGGAGCAGGAGCAGGAGCAGGAGCAGGAGCAGGAGCAGGAGCAGGAGCAGGAGCAGGAGCAGGAGCAGGAGCAGGAGCAGGAGCAGGAGCGGCAGCAGCAGACGCGGCGTCGTTATAGCCCTCTTACTTGCCTGGCAGGGGAATACGAGGATTGGATTGGAAGGAGTGACGAGGACATTGTCTCTGCGACTATGAAGGAGGTGCTGGAGAAAGAGGAGGAGGAGGAGGAGGAGGAGGAGGAGAGCGGGAAGGGGGAGGGGAGGAGGGGAGGAGGCGTTCAAGATTGTCGAGTAAGTTTTGCTTTGTTATGCTGATATTTCTCCAGCTCGAGATTTTCTTTCCTGAATATTTCGGAGAGGGAGCTGCCAATCCGATCCGATTGAGGAAATACAAGGTTATCATCATGACTCTTCTCCCGTACAATCACCATCGTAAAGCTTTCTCCTTCCTCCTTTCCTTCCTGCACTTCTTCTTCCTTCCTCTTGCCCGCCGGTTGTTTCATGTACTGCCTCCTGCCACACCTCCTCGCCTCTTCGCCCTTGCAGCCTCCGCTTCTTTCCTTCTCCTGACCTCTTGCCAAGGTTGTGAAGACTCCTCTATCGGTCTACTGGTCTAGACCTGGTGAGCGAGCAAGAGAGGGGAAGGAGGGAGGGAGAAAGAAACGAAACGTGGAGGAAGCGGGAGATGCGAGGAGGAGCGAGTAGAGATAGCAAGGCGAGGAGGAGAACTTCTGTAGGTGAGCGGTTGGCAGGCATGCAGAAGAATCGGCCCTCGCAAGTAACTCCGATCTCCAACTTCTTCCTCGGAGGGGACTACACGTTCCAGGTATAACTTCTCCTCCTTCTGCACCACCAACAACTACGCCTCCTCCTCCTCCACCACCACCACCACCACCCCTTTCCTTTCCCCCATCGTGCTTCTGCTTACCATACTCCTTCCCCTCCTCATCCCCCACCATCCCCAGTCCTCTTGCCTCCGCTTCCTGCACTCGTTTCGTCCGCCCTCTCCCACTTCCGCTCTATTCCTACTCCCTCCTGCCCTCGCCTGCCCCTCCCGCCCTCAACCGTAATAAGGGAGGATGACGTTGCATACCAGCGCTACCTCGCAAGCATGGAAGGAGCCGTTCTCTCTGGCAAGCTCGTGGCTGAACACCTCTCTGTACGCTTCCTCTCCTCCTCTCCCTACTCTCCCTCCTCCCTCCTCCCTCCTCCCTCTCCCTCTCCACCCTTCCTCCCCTAGCTGCTGACATCGCTCTCCGCTCCTCTTCTCTCCTGTTCGCATCTCGCGCTCATCACCCTACCAGGCCATTAACGAAGGGCGAGAGTTCCAGGACCCCTGCAGTGTCTTGACCATCCAGAAGGTGTTGCGAGAGGAGGCTGAGATGGAGGGGGGGCGGGGGGATCAGGAGGGGAAGGAGCAGTGCGAGGAGATCAGCAGGGAAAGAAAGAAGAGCGGGAGAGGACACAGAGAAGGATGGGAGAGAGACGAGGAGGAATAATGGAGCAAGAGGAGGAGAAGAGGAGGAGCAAGAGGAGGAATCGCACGCTGCTCTTTGACTTGTTTCAGGGGGACTGGCCGGAGCTCGTCAGGCGAACTAGTTGATCACACTTGTTTATTTAGCAATAGAACAGAATTTACAGCTCGGTGATGATGTACAGGGGGGGGGGCGAAGCCGCCTGCGCTCATGCCCGGGGGAGGAAGAAACTGGCTGGCGAGGCTGATCCCGGGGCCATTCCCCCGAGCACAACTGGCTGACCCTGGAAGCGACCGCTGTCCAGTCCTGACCGGGGAGGGGAGGGGAAGGGAGAGTTGTTGAGGGTCTGCAGCTGCAGCAGCGACTGAATCAGCTCCGAAGTCTTAGAGTAGAGCGCGTCATTGAAAGTCTGCGACGAGGACAGGTGCGCGTTCAGCACAGAGTCCGAGCGGATGGACGGAAGGAGCGCTGGCCTGGCGAGCTGACGGAAGTTTCCGTTAGCTAGCAGGGAGCTCTGCTTGTTCTCCGCCAGCTGTGCCTGTAGGAAGGAAGGCAACTTGCAGTCCTCGACGTTCTTGGGAGAGCTCTGGACCAACTGGAACGAAGGCATGACGGTCTCCAGGGGCTTCCTTCCTTCGAGGGAGGGGGAGGAGGAGGAGGAGGAAGATGAAGATGCGACGTGAGGTGCATCTCGGTCTAGCCTGACGTCTGCAGCCTCCGAATTGTCTGACTCATTGCTGGGGCTTGCGCTCCCGCTCTTCCTAGGGCGCTTGTAAGGCCATCGCTCGATGCCCAATTGTCTGCATGCTCGCTTAATGGCTGCTAGAGAGATGCCCTGAAGAGGAGCGTAAGAAAACGCAGGACGGAGCAAGCGACGAGACTTACCAGGGTCTTTGCAGCTTTCTCTTGAGGGACATCGAAGAGCGAGGTGATGTAATCGATGTCGAAGGTAAGGGGAGCCCTACCCCTCGTCTTGTGTAGCTTCTTCAGATCGCCCTTCTTCGTGCGTGGAAAGATTCGGATCTTGGCCTTTGTTGAGTTGTTGGATGTCCAAGATGACGCCTCTGCTGACATGCTTCTAGCCTGTGCCTCTCCTCGAAGCACTGAGTCAAAACTCCTGGGAATCATCAACTTGTCGTGACTTCGTATGGTTTCGCGTGTGATATCCTTGTATTATTTCCCTGTCCTCTTATCTCCTCGACTTCTCGTCTCCTTGTGTTGTTGAGATATTGTTGTATTCTTGTGTTGTTGTGTTCTTATGTTGATACCTTGCTGTTCTGTCGTCGACTGTGGCAATCTCGTGTCTGGAAGATGTCTTGAACGGAGTTGAGGGTTCCAAGTTAAAGCCTTCTCTCCTTGTCTTTTTTGGGGGGCGGGTCAGTTTTAAATGGGGGTGGGGTAGTGACATACAAGGAAAACCAGGGGTTCGGGAAGGAATACCTTGGGGTACAAAGGGATTTTGCAAGGGGTGGGGGTCATCAAGTGAGTATCGGCTCGTCACCCCCTGACTGGGTGTAAAAGGGTACCCCTGTCACAATTAGAACCCCACCCTCCCATTGAATCTACGTAGCACGTCCTTGCAACAAGTACCCCTGCAAACTATAATTGAGTACCCTTGATATACCCTGAAGTGCATGCACCCCACCGTCATGGATACACTCTTGCTTGTTAACCACCCACACAGAAAAACGACCCCACCCTCGAGTGTTCTTTACAAGATCGAGGGGATGCATGTCTGCGACCCCTCCCAAGGCATTCTTCGAAATCATGTGTTTTCATGTTGTGCTCTGCATCCAACCGATGTAATTTTGGTGTCTTTTCGTGGCAATATGTTTTTATAGCTCGCTCTAAAAATATTTCTTCCCTGGTAGCATCTTCCCCATGGGACATGACCTTGCGGCCCCATCTCTGCCTTTCCCACCACGTACTCATCCGCTCCCACCCCTTTCTTCAGAACCCTACCCTACATGTACCCCTACACTTTCGGTCATATGCGGGGTCATACCTAATTTGATCCTCACCCCCCACCCCCTGTTTCAACTCGGATGCGATTATCTCCGGACTAGTCACTGTCACAGCTATGGTCCCGGGACTTGGCAAGTTGCGAGTCTCCGAGGCTCCGGCGACCCGGCGAGTACGGTAACACTGAGGTGCTTCCGAGTTCCCCGGAGTCGGACCGGCGGCCCGGCCCGGACTTCATCCGTGACCATCGAGTCTCGGATGTTATCGCCCGATGCACTGTGAGTTCAACCGTCAGCAGGATTGCCGGCGGGTTTCAAGTTTGGTTCTCGCTGTCGGAGCGGCTTTGCTGAGTCTTCTCGCCGTTTGGCCTGTGCCAACTCAGTTGACAGATCGGACGGTCGGAGTGTCAGGCCCTGAGGGTCACTGAAGCCTCCTCGTCGGACTCTCCTGATTGTCCTCGTACTGATTTTTAACTTAACTTTGAGTAAAGTACTACTTACTATGATTATCATGCCATTTTCCTGAAGTTCCTCGTACTGAACTGATTTTTGTAACTTAACCGTAACATTGAAGCCTTAACATTGAAACTTGGTGAGTTTTCTTTATTATTGATCCGATTGCTCTCAGGCTGATCGGACGGACTCCCGTTCAACGGTTTGTCCTCGCACTGATCATCGGATTGTCCTCGCACTGATTCAAGTCGGGCCCGCCAGCAAGTCAAGTTGAAACTTCAACCGGCTGCTGCCGGCCCGCATGAAGTATAGTATGATCGGACGTCGGAGGTACCACGGTTTAAGTTACCCCGGCGGGCAGTGCAAGTGACCTTGACCGGCACAGGGGGGGCGAGCCGCCGCCGCGTGGGAGCCGCGGCCAGCCCGGTGACTCGTGACGTTCAAGCCGCCGGGGCGCCCGGGCCCAGCCTGGGCACTGCCACGGTCGGGGGCGAGACTGCCATGAGCGGACTCGGATGATTCAATGAGGATGGAGGACTACTTGTTTACGGTACTTGACAGCAGTCACTCGGAGCTTTAGAACCACTCAAGATCAAGTTCTACATCCCATATTGTTTTCCTTCCCTTCCCCTCCCCATCTCCCTTTCTCCCTTTCCTTCTAGCGCACAGCAGCGTTGCACTGGGGGCAGACGTCCCAGTCGATCTCCACCGGCTCGCCGCACTGTCACAATAGGTGTGAGGGGGGAAGAACGACGAGCAGCTGCAGCAGCAGCGGTAGCGGTAGCGGTAGCGGTAGCAGGAGCAGGAGCAGGAGCAGGAGCAGGAGCAGTAACAGTAGCAGGAGCAGGAGCAGGAGCAGGAGCAGGAGCAGGAGCAGGAGCAGGAGCAGGAGCAGGAGCAGGAGCAGCACGAGTGGGTCACCTCCTCGCAGGCCTTCCAGTTGGTCAGGTCAATGACCTCTTGCTCTACTCGTGGAGTCAGCATACAGCAAGTGCAGAAAAAGAGCAGGAGGAGAGGAAACACGGCAACGAGGGCAGGGAGAGAGGGAAGGAGGGAAGGAGTGAAGGAGGGAAGGAGTGAAGGAGGGAGAAGCGAGGGAGGGAGGGAGGGAGGGAGGGAGGGAGGGAGACAGAGACAAGTCCAACGGAGGTGAACGGAGGGTAGCTGTGAGGGAAAGGGACTGGGAAGAACAAGAAGGAGGGAGAGCAGGGCGGAGGCTTCGGGTCACCTGTAGGCAGAATGTCCGCTTTGCCCAGATCCTCCCCGTCCTTAGGAACCTGAAAGGAAGGGAAGCATGAGATAGGATGAGCGGCACAAAGCTGTCGTACCTCTGAAGCAAACTTCAAGTCCGTTGCCAGCGCCGCCTGCTTCCTATCCTCGCCGTCCTCGTCCTCGTCCGGTCCGAGGTCCTCCGCTTCCGAGCCCTCACCCTGCGATCGAGGAGGTCAGAGGTCGAAGGTGACGGGGAGGGGGGGGGGGGATCACGCAGCAAAAGGGAGGAGGAACGCAAGGAGCCCGATAGAAACGGGATGCATAGCTGAAGGAGGAGCGAGAGGAA